GTCTTTTGGATGTTGGCCATCCTAACTGGTGTGAGGTGATATATCATTGTGGTTTTAATTTGCATTTCCCTGATGATTCGTGATGTGGAGCATATTTTCATGTGCCTGTTGGCCATCTGAATTTCTTCTTTGGAGAAGTGTCTGTTCAGATCCTCTGCCCATTTTTTTATTGGATTATTTGCTTTTTATTCGTTGAGGCACATGAGTTCTTTATATATTTTAGATGTCAACTCCTTATCAGATATGTCCTTTATGAATATATTCTCCCATACTGTAGGATGCCTTTTTGTTCTACTGATGGTGTCCTTTGCTGCACAAAAGCTTTTTAGTTTGATATAGTCCTACTTGTTCATTTTTGCTTGTTTCCCTTGCCTGGGAGATATGTTTATGAAGAAATTGCTCATGTTTATGTTCAAGAGATTTTTGCCTATTTTCTTCTAAGAGTCTTATGGTTTCATAACTTACATTCAGGTCTTTGATCCATTTCGAGTTTACTTTGTGTATGGGGTTAGACAATAATCCAGTTTCCTTCTCTTACATGTAGCTGTCCAGTTTTGCCACCACCAGCTGTTGAGGAGGCTGTCATTTTCCCATTGTATATCAATTAACTATATATGCTTGGGTTAATATCTGGACTCTATTCTATTCCAGTGGTCTATGGGTCTGTTCTTGTGCCAGTACCAAATTGTCTTGATTACTGTGGCTTTGCAGTAGAGCTTGAAGTTGGGAAGCAAGATCCCCCCTGCTTTATTCTTCCTTCTCAGGATTGCTTTGGCTATTTGGGGAGACAGTTGACTTTTTCCCCTCATTTTTCCTTCTTTATGTGACCAAATGTGGCTTCACAAAGTTTAAAGTCCTCTTTAACAAACCTTATGTCATTCTGTTCTTTAATCTTCAGGATGCCAGTTCTACAGGGCAGAGCCCCCATGTGTCTTAGTAACTGTTTATGTCATACTCCCAGTGTCCTAGGTATGAGAGGCAGAGCCATGTGAATTCTGTTAATCCATGTGAATTCTGTTAATGTGAAGCACATTATTATAAGGCTTTTCCCACTATAGGTAAGTGGTCAGTTATTTTGGTGTTTTAATGTGGATATATATTGGTCCTGATGTATGGTAATTAAATCTCATTTAGATTTTACCATTGTATAATATAATACATAGTCTCAGAGATCAATGAAATGATGAGAAAAGAATGTTTAATTTCTAACAAACATACATCAAATGAGATTTTTAAAAATTTGCTTTAATAAAAGCAACTCATCCAAAAAGTATTTTTAATTTGCTCATTTCTTTAATTAGACCCTGGATTTTCTTTTATGGGCCCCAAAGTATCAATTCTCTCTTCAGGTGAGGATTAATATCTCATTTTCATTCATTTAAAATCTGTTGACTTGTGGGAGTTGAAAACTTTGTATTTGACAGTTCCAATTAAACATTAATTTCAACTAATTACAATCTGAAGAATTTGCTACTATAAAATTAAAAAGCTCAGCAGTGAAACTGACAGAATTTTCTTTGCTTTCAAGGATACATCAAATTGTGGAAATGTTGACTGTTATCTAATGCAAAATCTTATTTCCATAAGGCATAGTTTCATTCCCAGCCACCAGAAATGGTGATGACCTTTAATCAGAGATAAACTGAAGACCTGACAACAGTAATCAAATAACCCAGATCACAATACCCATATGAGTTAATAGTGCTTTGGGTCAGTCCTCTTTGGTGGTCAGCTGATTGGATGCAGAGGTATAAAAACACTGAAGTATTTTGTGTTGAACATATATTTCAATACATCTAGCTAGGCTGCAAGCATGAAATACACCTTGATACCTCCCCCCATAGGAAGTGATGGTTCCTAAAGATTCTGTTGGAAAGTAATGTGATTTCCACTTGCCAAACAAGTCATAAGACCATGCCCACCATTGATGGTTGGGATTGTACCCCTCCCACAGAAAAGGCCAGCAAACATTAAAATACACACATGTGCACACACACACACACACACACACACATACTATATATATATATATATAAAACATGGCCTATCCTCTTGGTCACGAACCATATGTTTTCCTCCCTTCTTCACTCAAAAATTGTCACACTCTCCAGGGAAATTACTCCAGCAACGTTCCAATGACAGCATCAGTCTCCAAGTCAAAGGTCTTAGGATCAAATCCCCAGCAGATCTCACTCTCTTCTCTTGCTCCACAAATCTATACACTCAAAATACAAGTAATTGACACCCTTCTCTCCTGCAATAAAATTGCAACAAACACTTCCGTATAACGAGGAGAAATAGAAAATATGTCTGAAGTCTAACTTCATAAGTTGGAGGCTCTGCTCTGCCCATGGGAAGGATCCATTACTTGGCCCTGATCCTGCTCCCGGAGAAGAGTCACCCAGTTTGCTGGGGTCCTTGTCTTTGTTTTCTAGAAGATCCTTCCTTTTTGCTATATACTGTGTCTGTATTTGAACACGGCCATGAACACTATTCCCTCTCAGCGTACCGACAGCCAGCTCCCTGCTCATACGAGTTTGGAAGAATGCAGGATTCTTTCACATCTTAAGAAATCCGTCTCTTACGTGAGGCTGAGAGGTCACTTGCCGGTATAACTTCCACAACAAGTTCGTGGTCTTCTTCCTCCGTTCGAGGCTGGTGAAGTCCACAGGTCAGTTTTTACACCTGCAGTCTTTGGGGACATTCCATTGTCCCTGAGCTCCTTGCAGTTTCCTTGAATTTGGGAGATGTTCTAGTAGAGGCGCTCTCTCATTATCCTCCCCCTGTGCCGTTCTGTTCCGCTCAAAGGATTTACAGGGAAGGACCTTTAATAGGTTAACAGAGTTTAATGACAGGCTTGATGGCCACACTTTGGATGCAGTCCTTGCCAGGAAGCTCAAATTTAATGGACTCTTGTTTTCCAAAGGCATCCTCCATTTTATATTTTACCACTTGAAAATGAAAATCAGATCCTGGACGTTACAGAAGTACTTGAATTTTGATATTACATAGCTCTTCAAAAACTCAACGATTCTTTTCCAAGTTCACCTTTCTTTCGTTCTTGTTGAATGTACCACTAGCAAACAGGAAATAGTGGTTACATACCTAGTCCCTTAAAAACCACACATTCACTCTGCATTGTCTGCTTTCCAAGGATATTACAGGAAATAATCTCAAACATTTCAAGACTCCATAAACTGGATCGCCATTATTCTCACCTTTAATACATTTTCTCACTGCCTATTCCTGGTACTAGAGCCAGTGTCATATAAGATATTTGTTGTTATTTTAATGGCCATACCATCAGCCCTAAGTTTTCCACTTGTAGCCGACAGATTCAAAATGTCAGTGGTTTACCAAAACAAATATTGACTTTTTTTTTCTTTATGCACATGGATTCCACTTGGACCAGCAAAAGCCCTGTTCCATGTCCTCTTCATTTCAGGATCTGTGCACAGAGAATAATGTCTATTTTGAACACACTGTCTTTGTGACATGAGACATGACAGAAAAAACACTTGGGAAAAGAGGCAGGGGGAGCATTCTGGCTCTCAAAGCCCCGGAGGTTAATTGGCACACAGATCTTCAACTCACACATTCAAAACTAAGGTCACGTAACCAAGCCTGATGCTGATGATGTGGGAAGAATAATTGCCCCAAAAGGAGGGACAAATACCAGAATCATCCTTAAGACCACAACCATCTTTTAAAATATTACATGGTTAGACTTCTGAATCAGATGTTTGGGAACTGATACGTCATTAGTCCTTGAACCCTACATGATTTCACCACTTCTGTGCCAATGCTTCAGTCCCAAGTATTTTTCTAAAGCCTATATTGCAAACATGGATTTATTTACCATGACCTCCAACAAACACTTGCATATTAAAACTCTTCACAGGAATAACAGCTAGGATAAAATAAAAACCTAAAACCATTCTCTTGAGCCTTTCTCTTACATTCCTCTTTTGACTTACTCTCCCACAGTCCTGCCCCCTGCACACGTGCATCACTAGAAAGTACAGATACAGCTTCATCGGAAGAGATGTGTGAAGAATGAGATGCCCACGAAGGTGTCCGTACCGTAAGAGCAGGTGACAATGTATGAGCCTTGCTGGGCACATGATTCTGTCTTCATTCGATGCTCTGAGAGAAGAAAACCCAGCTTGCTTGACTAGAACAGTTTTGATTAAAAGTTAAACCTCAAAATGTGGAACGTGTTCTGTTACTGAATTATCCCTTAGAAAAACAATTTATTTATTTATTTTTAATTTCCAACTGCTTAGTATTATCTGCCAACAGTCACTCTTACCAGGGAAATGATGCCTTTTACCTCGAAAGTTGTCCAACAGGAGCGGGTGCAATGTCTGGAGCAGCAGGGGGCTCTGCCATGCGGTGACAGCCTCACGATGACACTGACATTTGAGACTGTGTTTCTGTCCCCCAAACCCTCTCTTTGTTGTTTGTAATTGCAGCTGAAATTGCCTCCCTACCTCTGCCAGGACACCACAGCAGCCTCTGCCTCCAGAACCCTCTTAGAGACTCCGAAGACCATTAGCAAGTTGGCCCGGCACAGCAAAACAAGATGCCTACATTCTTTCCAACACCACAGAGCACTGGGGAGAATGTATATTGTAGACTATATCATGATATGTATCTTATTTCTTTAACATATAAGCTAAAAGCTGAAAACATCAAGCTGGAATGATACCACACACTCCCCCCACCCCAGCACACACAGGACCATGATGAAACATGATGGAAGTTAGGTGGCAGACACAAAAAATACATTAGTACCACAAAGATGAGCATGCGGTCTGTGTAATATTTTTCTCTTTTTTTACCCTTAATAATTTTTTTTTTTTACTGATTTTAGTTTTTAAAATGTAAAGATGTTAGGCTCAATTAATAGCATATATTAATAAAGTAGAACATGCTTCATATATATGCTATAAAATGCTATTTTGAATCTATCGAACATGTGTTCATGTGGAAGTTACCTCATCTTCCTTTTGTTTGAGTCCCTGTTTTAGTTCTTCCACACGGAATCTCAGTTTCTTTACTTTGGCCTCATTTCGATCCACACAGTTGTTCGCATGAGCCAGTTCCGCTGTTTTGGCCTGGTATTGTCTGTTCAGTTTATGGTGGGCATGCTGAAGACGCAACAGTTCCTTTCAAAAGAAAACAGGGATTCCAGTGTTGATAATTTACTTTCATAAAATCAGAGGAATGGCACCTTCTTTGGCAAAGGAGAAAAGCATTTTTTAGGAAGAATTCAGATGAGGTGTCACTTCATCTGGAACTCTGCATTTCTGCATTAAGCATTATGGTTAGCATATAACTACAAATGGAAGATGTGTTTGTGACTAAAACACAATGCAACTCTGTTCTTGAGTAAATACCATTTCCCATTTTATGCAAATTTAGTTTAAATCATATTTTAGGTGTTTTTAAAAAATGCTTTCTAGAAGAAGGAATCACATATCCATAAGAAAAGAGGAGCTGTTCACCTGCTAGCTCAGTAAATCAGTGTAAGTGTTAAAGTTAGCAGACTGTCTGCTTTTAATTATTTTTCTGAGAAAAAAGGTTCTGTCCTGCTGCAGTCCTGCTGTGAGCAGCACCCTTCTGAAACAGCCTGGGTCTGGCCCAGAGACCTCGAGCAAGGGCCTCCCCTGTGGAGAAACAGCGTGGACCTAACATGAAGTGATCGGATTGCCAATCAAGCTTGTTATAATCAACACAAGATATGAAGTAACAGGTTACATTAATTGGTCTCCCATTAAAAACGCAGCTTCTCATTTCTGGTTGAAGGTTGCTGTGCAGAGTTAACAGTTTTGTAATTCTAGAAAACATCTTTATTAAAGCCATAAAAATGTTCAGTTTTCTCATGATGTCATACATTAAGAAAATCCAAGGGTATTTCTCTGCTGAAAAATACTGTCATAACATTATGTATGAAAATCATGTAAAATGGCACTAGTTAAGAAATGGAATTCTTCCTCACATCTTATACTTATACTGATGATGACTGTGATAATAAAATGTCAGAGATTCAATAGTAAAAATATAGCCATAAAATATTGGAAAATACTGGAAGAAGATTTGGGGTACTTTTTTTTTTATCACCAAGTAGAAAATTAGATTCTAAGTATGATCCCAACCCAAACCATGACATCATTGAATGATAAATTTAATCACAATAAGTGTATAATTTATGTATAGCAAATTAAATAGTATGTCCTACACAGAAAATTTGGTAACAAGAGACAGTTCTATTATTCATGAATAGCTTTATCGAGTCTATACAAACTGATATAAAATATGGAAGGACTGAGTTCATAGGAAGGAAAATAGAGCATCTCTTAAACACTAAAAGCTATTCAACTTCCTTAAAACTATGGCAGAAACTTTCTAACTTATATAACGTTTTAGTAAGACACAATTATGGAAATGGAACAGATTTATGGCTGTCATGGTTAAGGATGGGGGCAGAGAGTGTCAGAAAAGAAGTAGGTGTGACAAATGGCAAATCAAAGATCCTTGTTCTGATGACATGTTCTGTGGTTTGACTGTATCAATGTCAGAATCCTGGTTGTGATGTTGTTCATTAGTTTTGTAGAATTATACCATTGGGGAAAACTGGAGAAAGGGAAAACTGGAGATCTATTATTTCTTATAACTGCCTATGAATCCATAATTATCTAAAATAAATGTTTATCTAAAATAAACATATTGAACCATTTTTCATGCCTTCAGACTGGCAATATTAAGTGTGATAAGACAATCTGTTGGTAAAATGTGAAAAAAAAAAAAACCCAGATTCGGTTGTGAAGAAATATTGGCAAAATCTTAAACATTAAAAATGAACATAAGCTCTGACCTGGCCATTATTCTACTTCCAGGAATGTATTCTACAAATGTGTACATCGTTGCATGAATAGTGTGTGTGCATGGATATTTAGTGCAGTGTTGTTTCTGGTTAATAGTGAATGATTGGAAATTGCTGTCCCTCAGAAGGGGCTGATTAAAGTAGAAAACAATTAAGACATTCAATATAACATGGCAAGTCTTTCGTATATTGATACCATGATAGCTCCAAATATTCTATTAAGAAAAACTCAAAACAGTGTGAAGCACATGTTACACTGATGTAAAGAGAATTCTAATATGACACGTCAGTAACTGACAGGCTCCTGACCTCTAAAGCTGGAACTTCAACCCGAATAGGTAGAAATCCTGCACAGGTTGGGAGAGGTGTGGACGGCGCAGTGGCACCTGGGGAGAAGCTGCTGGCTGCTACTGTCAGGAATCCAGGGGGTGGAAAATACGGAGGAGGGCTCTCAAGCTGACCGACACCCTAACATCCAAAGAGCATGCCTCCCGGTGTTCCCCTGACAGCGTGACTGTCAGGTAACTGGGAATAATCTTGTTGCTGTCCTGAAAGCCACCCACAGGAGTCAGATTCACAGCCACTGGTATGTAAACCTGAGTAATGACAATGGGCAGCTGGGAACAGACAGATGTGGATTGGCAAAAAGACCCAGCTGGCTGAGCAGTCCTGCCATGGTGCCCTCAAACATAGCAGTTTATGGCCTAATGGCAGCGTTTTATCAAATTGTATCATATTTAAAATACACAGAATCCTCATTCTTCTCTTCAGAATACAAATTTCTAGATGCCAAATTATACACCTGATTATTTTATGGAAAGAGGTATAATAAGGGACACAATTCTATTATGTGGAGTGACACTGGAACATTTAACGAAAGATTTTCTTGATTTTGCTACAGAAACGATAGCTTTTTCTCTAGAATTATATACCTAATTACAACTACTTATTAAATAACTGTGTGATTTTATTGTTCAAAAGTATTTCTCAGTCAATGCTTTGTCATTAGACTTGTACAATTCACTTAGATTGGTTTAAATGGAGTTAAGTAAACAATAAAACTTTTTGAGATGTGCACGTAGAAAGAAGAGAAAGAGATGAAAGAAAGAAAAAAGAAGGGAAGGAAGGAGGGAGGAGAACATGCTGCAGTTTGTCAACACAAATCTCATCCGACCATGTGTCACCTGCACAGGCAGAGCCCTGGCATCCATCTCACCGCACGGCCGCTTGATCAAGGAAGGCCATCTTATTCCAGGCCAGGAGGTGACTGTGTTAGTCAAAGTCCCTTCTCAGTGAGGGGCCCCCAAGCCTGCAGCATCAGGACCACGTGGAAATTTTATCCAAGGCCTACTCAATAAGGAGCTCAGAGGTTGGGGCCCAAAGACCTTGGGTTTAACAAGCCCTCCAAGTGTTTCTGATCCAGCCCAAAGGTTGAGGACCACTAACTAGTCTATGCCACTTGCAGTAAGACTTACTCCTGCCAGTAACTTACAGGAAAGTAGAAATGACTAAGCAATGAAACATGAGAAGTCTCCTTGAGTGGTAAGAGACGATCTAGAGATTTTTTAGCATTTAAAACTATACAGAGAAGATACATGCGTGGAGGTACAACAATCTGGGCTAAAGGGAATCCTGCTGACAGTGCGTATGGCAAACCCAGTGTGGGCATATTTTGTGACATGAGAAAATACATCAAATTTTATCTCTAGCCAAAAATATTTTTTTCATAGGATACTATTTACTTTCTATTCTAATAAAGGTGAAAATTTGATTTCAAGTTAGGAAAAACTATATTTCACTTACACAAAGATATTTTTAAAAAATCACTTCAGGATGAAGGAGGTTAATATCAGCCAAGCAGCTACTATACACTAAATTCTTCACATACCCTTTTTTTATGTATGTTTTTTCTCTACAGTCTTAGAGAGGCTATGCAAATTTTTTATGGCCAACCTAGCTGGAAATTACTTCTGCACTATTTCATCAAAATAATATCCCATGGCTGGCTTTAATCTTGTTATCAGGCCTTATCTTCCAAGACTTCATAGGTTCTTTAACATTTTAACCCATGAATTTACCAACATCCCCTATTTATTTTCTGGAAAGAGATGGATGTCTTCTTTAATTCTCAAAGCTCTGGGCTCTGCTACTGTTTACTTATATTTTGTTTTCCTTGAGATGAGGTCCCCACCTACCATTCTTTCTTTGAACACGTATTAGAATAAAGGATGACGGATCTTAGGATCATGAACTATAATCCCAAACATGTGTGATGCTTTTATATGAAATCTTAGTTTCCCCTATAATGTGCCTATAAATGTCCACTTGGAGGGCATCCAAATAGATGTTCATTTAGAGTTAATGATTTGCATTTGAAAAGTAAATTAAGTAAATAATAAAGATCTATATGGACTTTTAGCGTGAGCTTATTCTAATATATTTTTAATGGTAGAAATACATGAAACCATGTATTTCTTGTCAGATAAAAATATGAATGGAAATTTAACATGTAAAAAATATATAGTACAAATTATTTGTCATACTGTAATCCTCTATAAATCTAAAACAATAAACTGAACAAATATAATACAAAATCCTTTGACAAGTGGCTATGAATAATAGCACTGATATAGAAAACATAATGTACTTGTATGCAAATATTTTTGATAGGACAAAACTAGTTTCTCAAATAGATTAACTCTGTTTCTAGTGATATAAAGGATTTGATAGCAGACTTCAAATTTTGTGTATGGTTTATGAACTCATGCATTAGTTTACACTCTTACAAGAGAGAATACTGCTTTCTACCCAGAATCAGTTTTGTATCTGATATTTAAGTTTTGAGTCTTACATGATTCCTGATTGGTGGCAAGCTGATGGAAGTAAAATACATATTTTTATAACTTAAAGTGACATAATGGGAAGCTCACAAAAATGAATCAAATAAGTTTACAAGCATCTATTTAAAAGAAAAACAAGACATCATACAGGAAATTAAAAGTGTTTTGTATGTTACTTATGCTTGCTAAATTAAAAATATCCATAGAAAACTAGAAATTTCTCCACTTATAATTTTAAATATTCATAACAATAATATACTGACATGTAGAAAACCTGAAATTCACAATGTAATATATGGTCTGACTCTACATAACAGAAGGAAGCACTTGGAAAATTGGGAATAACTTGCTCATGGTCTGTTGATAGCCTTGTTAGACTTCATCTGTGTATAATGACGCTTTCAACAAAGATTTTTTTTAAAAAAATTGGGAGATACATTGG